ACACATTACATATCGAACAACCCTCGTATATTATCACTGCGTATGGGATTTATATCTCTTATTTGATTTGATACTCAATAGCATGATCTACGTACAAACAATGTCTGAAATGAGTTCAGCTATTGACAAACAATTTGATAAACAAGAAAATCAACAGTTTCGTATAGAGTCAACAATTTGCATTTTCTACGGTCGATACAATGACCTTGTCTACAGATACAATGCTGTTATATATCATTAAATTGAAAGTTCTTCCATTTGATCATTAATTCCATTTTCTAAATATAATATTTTTTCCATACATTCATCAATTAGTATTTAATATATAAGCAATCCCTTATTATGTGATTCAAAATTTTATACCGGTGTTAATCAATATGTAACAGCCAAACAGAATTCTGTTGAAAGAATTTTGTTGTTGTTGTTGTTTTTTTTTTACACTCTCAATACAACAAATACAATTTTATATAAAAGTTTTAATTTACAATGAATAAAAATTGTGCATATATATATATATATACAAAAATGTTGGTTGTTTAAGATATATTTTGAATGTTTATATTGTCCGATAACATTTCCCATTTCTTCCACTGTAGCAACAAGACAGTGTACATTATAAGCGGTATATTTTTTGTCTTTTCACTGACATTCCCTATTGGTTGTAATGGGCTGTGAGGCTCACCGCCACGATGAAAATGCCGTACATAAAGAACACCAGAATTCCAAACAGAACACGTTCGGATTTCGTCAGAGGTTTATCCGGGCTCTCAAATTCATTCTCTATTGCAACTTCCGGAACCTAGAAGATTAAAACACAGTCAATTTTTTTTTTCTGACCAGACGTTCCTCAGATACCCATTTTTTTCAAATCGTAATAAATTAAATTATTCTCATAATAAACAATATCTTGTAATTTATATATAATGTTTTCAAAATGTTTAGAAAAATGCAATATTGGGGGGGGGGGGGGGGGGGGGGATGAAATGAAAAATAATCCTAAAATAAAAAATGTACCAAATTATATATTTTTTTTCAATATCAATTCCATAAGTTATCAGGATTTATTAATATATAACCATATCCTAAACTAAATCAAATATAACCAATCATAAATGTGTAACTTAGTGACGAGCATGGGGTCACAAAAAGAGGCATAAAATATGTCAAGTTCTATTCAAGAAATATACTTTTTCGTATTTTTGGACACCTACAATATAGCTAAGGGTTTTCGTCTGTTAACTTTTTACATTTAACATGCATCCATTAGATAACTGTGAAGAATCAAGATCTACATTCAAAATTATTTTTCAATGATCTGCAGGTTAGTTCTGATTTCAGAAAACCAATAAAAACATAAAATCGACATTTTAGCAGAAAATCAAACCGTGAAAGACTTTATCAGATAAACAAACCTTGTCTCTTTTAATCACGGATCAGGTGGTCGTATTTATATGTCATGTGTGTATGTTATTTCCTTTTGGGGTTCGATTTGTCAATTTGATTTCTTTCCAATACGAATCTACAAGAGTCCTAAAAAAGAAAGCTCTAGCCTAATTCTGATTGAAAGTCTCTGACTTCACTTACCTGTTTTTCCCTGGATGCCATTTTGAATCACTCCAATAAACAAACACTGGTAAGGTTGAGTGATTTTATGGCATCTTATAAACTGTACTATATAGCAGGTGTGGGAAAAAGCCCCCTGGTGTACGTAAAATGCACTTTAAACATAAAATAGTTATAAGCTACCACTGTTCCTAATGTACGTCCTATGATAACAATTTTCCCCTTAAGGATTCAAGTTAAAATCTTCATTTAATCTAAAATTTCAAAATCCGTACTCAAGTATTCTTTTTCCCCGATATACATGTATTTTCATTAAAAATATTGCCTATTTGGATATTTTGCCAAAGAAAACAGTGACACAAAAAGACTTGTAAACACTTACCCATCCCGAAAAATAGATAGATAAATAAATATTAATAAAAGGAAAAATATATTTTAAGAAACGAGTTAAGATAAGCTTACTATATACAGCTGAATGTTGTTTTTTTTTCACATAACACTGCAAATTTCGGGGGAGGGGGGGGGAGGTTGTAAGTGTGTGAAATATGTTTTATACAAATATGAATCTAAAGAAAATGTTGGATACTAAAATAAGGGGTCATGGGGGTTGGACCTGGATCACCTCTTTGAAACTTGGGTCCTTCGCATGACATTTATATTGTACTTGTAAATAGGACTGACTTGTCTCCAAATCAGGCACTGCAGTGTGATGCTCATGCACTGTTTTTGCTCACGCTATCAAATAAAATATACGGGCATTATTTTCCTTCAGCTTTTCAAGGAATTCCGTATTTCTAACATGTTTACTCCCATCACCCCAGTCCATTTCATAACTTAAATTCTTCCTTCAGACATAGACCTGGATGTTAAACGATTTACAAACTTTTTGTTTATAATGTTACATACATGCAGCTTGAGGAGGGTGTCAATGTGCGAAAGAAGCAACTTAAGCCCACGGTTTGCTTTGATTGAATGGTTCTATCGTTTAATTGTCCCAGAAGCATGAACAGGACCTGTAATAAGGTGAACAAAACTCCAATTACGCTGATAGCCTAACGCCTAGCCTAAGTTATCGCCCTTTACACTTTAAATTACATTCATTTTTTAAGCAAAAATACACAGTTTGTAAAATCCAATTTAAAGTAAGCACTCAAGAATAAACATTTTATAATTTCTGTAATAGTTATTTAAGAATATTTTCTTTATCCTTCGATAAAGTATTTTTCCATTACTTTTATATTAACTAACATTGAAACATCTATGTTTTATGCATACATATAATTTATTTCACAACATGAAAGTGTAATTTAGTCAGACGGACAAATAAATAAAGGGAGGGGAGAGACAGATTGTGGGAGTGGAGAGAATGGAAGGGAGTGAAGAGTAGGAATGGGGAAAAGGGGGCGTGGAAAGGTTACTGGTAGGGAGACGGAAAGGGGGGGCGCAAGGGAGGGGAAGAGGGGAGGCACAGGGCGTTTGGGGGGTACAGGGTTGGGGAATTGGGGAGGCATAAGATGGCGAGTAGGGAAAGGGGGAGGTGAGAGTGGTTGGGGGAGGAAGTAGGGAGAAATGGTATTGGGGTTTACGAGAGCGAAGAGAGTGGGAGGGGGATTAGAGAATGGATGAAGGATATCCGATTATCAGCCAGGAAGGATAACTCCAAAAATTAATATTTAATTTAAAATACATCAAAATGAAGCTTGAAAATAAAAAATCTTTTCGTACAACAATTTTCATTTTATTCATCTTTATAACATTCAAGGTTTTTGGAAGTCTTAGAAAAAGGTCTTATAAAAGTTGACATTTGTACCCTATTAAAGGAAAAAAATTAATACAGTTTTAGAGAACTAAGATTTTCTTGAATCCAGCCTTAGAAACCAAAGCTTATTAGCATGATATAAAATGAGAAGTGATTTGTGGTGTCTTACAATGATAGCAAAAGCCTTTTACACTATGTATTATAGAATACATGACGGAAATAGAAAACAAAAAATACCAAATAAGTATAAAAATCATGACAATTTCTCTGATTGCCTTGATACCTATCGTTTTTTAACCTAAAATATATTTGTTGATCAATTTGCAATTCGTCTTTTCTGCAAAAATATTGGAGATTTGACAATTTTCCCTTTATAATATGATTAACTTTAATTTATAACTTTAAAGAAATACTGTGGATAAATTTACATAACTTTGTGGATTCAGAGATACTATTACGAGTATTTTTGATTACTCAACTGCTAATTTTATAAACCTGAGGATCGGACTACCTTAAAAGCAAGAGAGGAGGTGGAGAACAGATAGTGATATTGGGAGAGGACAGGCATATTTTACTCAAATTCCAAAAAACTTCTATTATAAGTAGAGTCTGTTATATTAGTATTTCATTCTCTAGTGGATCTAAACTTTATGATAAACATGATTACTTCACAATTTCCAGCATCATCTTCCATATTTGTGTGGCAATATACCATCATCACATGCCTATGATGTTTAAGTATCCAAGTTTATTCAGTGTGCAAGAGTATGTCTGAATGGTTTTATTACAGGGCCATTTACTGACAAATAAGTTTATGAAACAAGGGTATATACATTCTCATTTAAGGTCAAAATAGTGCAAATTCTGCACATGTGTAGTTAACACGATGACTTTGTTTGCAAAAACAATCTGTCATAAAGTGTAGAAAGTTAACTGATGACTTTCATACAAATTGGCCATTCTTTTCACGCTAAATTGACTACAAATTCTCTCCTTACCCACTGAGGCATAAGGCACAGAGGGCTGCAACCAGGCAACAAGGGTTGCTTACCCTTCATGGCACTTGATATGATCTCTGATGTTTTCAAGATGTTTGCTCTGCTCTGACAATATGTACATGTATTCAATTTGTTTCAAAGGAACCACAGCATGATTACTGTTCATATTTCAATGTATGGTATCAGTGACAAAACAGGTTTCCTCAACATTCATTTAGATTTTTAACTGTCCTGTTTCACCTGTAAATGTAAAATAAATAGCATTATTTTCATCCAAGAAAGTACTTTAACATTTGTGGCATTCACCACATCTAGCTAGGAGCATTCAGTAAGCAAATCTCCACTTAATATTGTTGTATACTCACAGATAACCAAGAACTAGGCACCCTCAAATGACTTTAAAGACAGTGTAAATATAGTAGAAAAACTTTTTCAGAGAGAGGAGAGAACCTTTAACTATCCTGGTAGCTAGACAAAGGAGTACACGTGACAGGAAAGGAGACAATGTATGGCTGAATCGAACCCAAAACCCCTGAATCATTAGTTAGGTGCTCCACCCACTGAGCTACCCAGGCTGATATCCACAACCTTACTGGAGATTATGAAATGCTAAGCAACTTCATCACCAATTCATAAGTTAAATCCTTCAGTTCTGAACTAGCAAAAAAAAAAAATCGAAGTTTAAGTACAATGATTTTGTTTTATTTTTATAGTACATTTCAAAAATATAAATTCAAATGACACTTAGATATAAGCATCTTGAGTGATAAGACAAAATATATTTTCTAATCTTAAATGAAATTAAACTGAATAAAAATCACTCTCACACTTGTTTCCATAGCACTTCCAGTCTTTTGAAGCATACAAACAAGAAAATAAGGCTACATTGCCATGAATATAACAGAGTCAATCAGAAAAAAAGGAAAATTATCAAGAATATTATAAATAGAATCAAATACCTATTTTAACTGATTAGTTTAATTATTAATTATTAATAATTACTCCATAATACTCAGTCTAAGTTGACAATAAAATATCTAAATCTTGGTGTACACCTTAATACATGTATATGAATTAACGTTAGTTTATGAACATTTATCAATCAATTTATATATTGCAAATGTTCTCAAACCATTAATCAAAAGAATACAAAATAATCTTTTAAAATTTTCAAAGCTTTATATGTTCCTTCTAAAATTATATATAGAAAATAACCCTATAATTATGACTATGGTAAATGCATTACCTGGAAACTTAACATTAAGTTCTGTAGCACATTTTCAACTTTTCTTGAAGTGAAAACTAAAACCAAAGTCCAATAATATAACGAAAAACTCTTGCTACGACACAGTTAATAAGCATTTATCAAATTCATTCACATAAGAAAGAAAATTATCTTCCATAATTCAGTATATCACCTTAATCTAAAAAGTGCATAGCTTAAATACACATTTTCACAAGACCTCTGATTCAAGTTCTCAACAATATTCAGTCTTTAAAGGATAATGATGCATATTTTTGAATTGTACATCTAAAGAAATAATAAAAATATACATATTTACATAGTTATGAGTTACTTTATATATGGGACTTGATTGAATACACAGTTGCATAAAAAAAATTCTCTAATGATTGTTACATTTAGGCAAAAATAATCATGATATGGCTTCAAAATGTTTAAAGCTTAGGTCATTATATGCAAAGATTATTGAAAAAAATTCAAAAACTAGCAAAATCAAGTAAGTAACTACTGTATAATGAGTAATTTTTCTAAAAAATTGGTTTTTGCTTTCTTAAAATTTGTAAGCCTTTGATATTTCAAAATATCAAATTTAAATGACACATCAAACTGTTATTGATTTTTACATACTAGAGTGCTTCATTAAAACTTTGAACAATCCCAGAAAAAGCAAATAATAAAAAAAAAAGTAGTGTTTTGGCATATTTTCGTAAAACTTGTGATACATGCAGAAAAAAGCATTTTGCAGTAGGCTTTATTTTCATTTTCAATGCAATCAAAGGGAAAAACTTCCAAGTGTTCAAATTAAAAACAAACAAAATTGTTCAATTCCTTTTAAACTGAAAATCATAAATGTCATATCATAAGTAACTCCGGCAAATGAATCACAATTATGTACAAGTATCACAGATCACAATTAAGATTTAAAAATAAGATATGAATAAATGTAGGCATGATTTCAAAATCTTCCAGTCAAGAATTCATTAACACAAAATGATATATACACTCATCACATTAAAATATATCTGTTCTGGTTTTCATGAATAAAGAAAACAAAATTTGTAATAGAAAAAAAACACGATCAAATATTAAATAATAAACAATTTAAGTATCTCCAACATTATAGGCAATCAATTTAACTTTATTACACAATATTTCAGACTTGATTTCTGTTAGATAGAATGAGCTTTTTTGCTAAGTGGTCAAAAAGTTCTCAATATATCCATACCCCATGTTTTACTAAAGCAATATGTGTTTAATAATAAAAAGTCCAATCATTCTAAATGATGTATTTTTATAATCAGTACCAAATTCTGCCTTAATTTCTCAATGTGCAACATCATTTACTGAGAATAAAAACTTAAGGTTTATGAGAGAAAATATAGCATTTCTTGAAGCTTACAGTAAGTTAACAAGAAGTTGTAGTTACTTTTTTCTGCTACCACTGACCATTATACTTTTAAAAGTTACATTATCATCCCAAAGAAAGAGTGCATCTAAAAGCTATAATAATCATAAGAACATTTAAATGGACAAAAGTTCTAGTTAAACAATATTTTAATAATGAATAACATACAGTGTACACATAGACAATATGTTCTTTGAATGTATAATTGTATAACACCAGTACAAAAATAGCCCTGAAGAGACATGCTTCAATTTGGTATATGGAAAAAAAACATCCTTAATGGCACTTTAACAGTGTATAAATTAATTTTACACAATAAATACGAGTAATTTCATAAAAATAACGATTGACACACATTGCGTAAATTCTTTTTTCAATTCAGCACCACTTTACATTACAATGTACAAAATGCAAGCTGATTTACAAATCATAGTCGAGTCTTTGTAATTGAGCGAGTTTTTATAACGGGTGACTCGTTGTCGGGGACTTGGTCCGTGATGAACTTCCGGGTGCAGTTTGAGGAGAGAGGCTGTAAAGGGACAGAGGACTCAGAGTGGATCTATAAAAAAAAAAGGAATCGGAAAAATAAAGAATTCATATCTCCGCACAATACACACCATAAAGAAATCGCATCTCACACAGTTCGTACTGTACAAGAGATTTGATTTAATATACATTATAATTTTTTTTTATTTTATTATTGTAAAGATGGCAATTACCTTTTTTTTTATTTTGACTTTCAATTTTTAGAGTTCTCCCTTCAACATACACAGCAAAAAATTGGACAAGAATTTTTACCAAGAAGTCTTACTTTAAGTGAAAATCAAAGCAAAAGGCCTATAGGCCCCATTGCTCACCTGTGTAACTATTACCCTGTAAACTGCTGTTTTTCATCAGCTGATTTTTTCCCTTTATAACTGATTAAAACTTTTTTGATTACCAACTGTGGCCCAACCCTACCCATTGGGGATATAATTTGAACACAGTTAAATCAACACTACCTGAGGATGCTTCTATATCACTAAAACTACATTTGGATTTCATGTTCTTGAGTAGATATTTAAAGATTTATCCAATGCAATTCTGTGTAAAACTTTGATTGCCTGTTGTACATGGTTCCTCCCTACCCCAGGGGTCATGATAAATAACTTTTATGTACATTATGTAATGAAATTTTCCCACAAATTTTATCTTTTGAGCCAGTCGTTCTTGATAATAAGATTTTTAAAAAGATGCTATCAAATTTTACTCATTCTTAATTTTCTCCCCTTGAAAGAGGATATTGCAATTAATTTGAACAAACCTGAATCCTGCTTTGTGGAAAGTGGCTGAAATTGGTTGAGTGGTTCTTGAGAAGTCTAAAATGTGAACAGATTAGAGAAGACATGCTACTGGGACCACATGTAAAACTGACAGACACGCTTTGACTAGAAAAGCTCACTTGAGCCTTTGGCTCAGGTCAGCTAAAAATATATTTTCAAATCTTGTGATTAAAATCATAAAAATATAATATTCACCGTGCATGATTAATTCTATTGAATTTATTAACTGTTAATTAAGTTTATGCTTCCACCTTTTCCATGCGAAATGCTGCAACAGTGTATCATTAGCAAGATGAGCGATTATACCAACAGACCAGGCTTCATTATATGATAGAAGAATGCAGTGTGCTATTTTTTTCATGATTAGTAACATTTGTTAACATTTTTTTTATGTACAGTGTATCTTTTCATATTTTTTTTCTAGGCTGTATGCCCAGTAACAGTTTATTCATATACTACTTATTAACGACTTTAACCCTTCTATCTATGTTTTCAATTCTAATTTAATTTATTAGAAGATTTCTTTTGAACACCTAAGTAATAATGTTAATTAATTTAAATTCTATGTCATCTACATGCAATGTCAATAGTTTGCCAATTTCCTACTGTACAGGACACAAAACATATTATTCGTTCTATAATAAATATCTAAACTGTAAAAAATATAACAGAAATCCTTTCATTTCAACAAACGAGTTCTTAATTTGTCTGTATAAATTTTTAATAAAAACATTATATATCTCTCACAACAGCAAGGAAATGAAAAGTAAATAAATTATTGTCATTGTTTTAGCAGTCCCTAAGTCTTCTAAAACAAAGACATGCAACATTTCACATTGACGTCAAGACTTACCTATAATGGCCGTCTGTTTGCAAGCCGCGTAAAAAGAAATATTCTGATGTAATTTAATCTTGATAAGACATGGCGAGTTAATTGGATTGTTTTTTGTGGTAAAAGAAAAGCATGGAACTTAAAATACAGTATGGGAAAAATTCACAATCTACAGGCCAAAAAGTAAAATCTCCAAGAAAAAGAAAGTAATCTACAGATTACAATTATGTTGTACATGTACTATGAGGTATATGATATTCTATGGTTTCATTCCTTCAAATTCGAGACAATTATCATTGCTTCTTATCATTGCTACAAATATCAGTTTATTTATTGTTTTATCTTTGAAAAACCTGGACAAAATTAGAAATAATAAAAACCTATATAAAGATCTATGTAAATACATATAACTCCAAAATATGCTTTATACTAATAAACAGTTGGTTTGCAAAAGAAAAATAAATGTTTGCTGATCATATTTTTTTTTTAATTTACTTGGTTATAACTCAGGTTCTAACATGTTGTTCATCCAAAAAAAGTCATTGCTATTAAATTTTTTGGTACATCTATAATAGTTTAATCTGGAAGGATGCATGTACATGTATATTATTCATGCATGAATGCATTCTGGATATTTTACATATTTTGAAAATATCTAAATAAAGATCAATACTTAAGGTCAGGGTCAAATAAAGGATCAATGTCATTTCATTAAGAAACCAAATCCCTAAAAGACTGAGTCAAGTATAAATAACAATAAACTTTGTGTTTAAATGGGTGATGTTTGTACATTTGCAAGAAATGAGGGATATGGGATGAAAGTATAAGGATGTGTTTAACACAATAAATTAAAATTAA